CTTGATTTTATTATTTTATTATTTTCTTTTTGTACGTTTTTAAATTTTTTTTTCAATATTTTTATCATCATAATTACTGCTAAAAATTGTATGCCAGAAGTGTGACAAGCTTTAATATTGTGCTATGATCGGAAAGGTTTTGTAAAGTCCATGGGTGCAATAGACTTAAAAAATTTTTTTTAAAAAAATTGGAAAAAACCCTCAAAATTAAGTGTTGAAGCAAAACAATAAGGCAATTTTTGTTGTGTGTGTGTGTGTGCGTGTTTAACATTTATTCTTTTCCTTTATTTGGGATTCTGTTTCTTTGGTTTTTCCTCCGTTTCCTCCCCTTCTTTTCATTGCAGGTTTGATGCAGGATTTACAGTGGCTTTCCAAATTATCTTTTGGCAATCAGAGAAACTTCCTATTTGAATGGCATTTCGCCCTTTATTTAGAGTCAATAGACCAACCAACCAAATAAAGGACCTTGGTTTCCATTTTGGACCAGTCCTCAGCCAAGTTCTCAGAAGGTTCAGGTCCTCCAAATTTTCACCATTGAAGTCTAAATGTATATAAAGCGATATACATATGTATATATATAGATATAGATATATATATACTTAAACCACTGGATCCACTTCAACACTGCCTGAGTTGTATTTGTTAGAATCTTAAAAGCAAAAGAAAGAAAGAAAAAAAAAAACCAATTGAAAATTGCTGTCGTCTTTTGAGTAAGATGTTGCATATTTTGCCTTTCCATTTTCCCCTTTCGGCGGTAGCTCTTAGGGCCCTCACCATCTCAGTAACCATGGTAACTGTATACATGCCCCCATGCTGGCGATGGTGCTGACTGGTAAGTGAAGAAGTCCATCTGCCGTTTCACGTATATTTTTAAAGCGCTGATATATACCACGTGGATTTTTTTGACTTGTCGTATTAAGTTTTCTTGATGCTCTCTCTATTTTTTTTTATATATCTCTCTCTATTTCGGTACGCCTGTAAATTGAGTGTCCGTTTTAAGCAAGCCTTGGAGACACTGACTGAACTAAGGATATGACTTTTGTGCACATCTTACTCAGATTGTTAACTCCATATTGTGTTAAATAATGCACCCTCTCTTATCCTTTTGTTAGCTGTGGTTTTGAAAGCTTGAATGGTTTTGTTAGTTTCTTGCAATGAACAAACAAGGCTCATGTTTCCCAGTGTTGAATGCTACATGTTGCTTTTCCAATGGTACATCTTGAAAGGGTTATGTTGCACACTGCTAAGATTCGTCCTTTTACTTTTTCTTTCTCCTTTTTGACGTTATTTTTCCCCCTGCGTACCTTGTCTCTTTCCCCTTTCTACTCCATGGCATGCTTCTTCATACAGGTTTTTTTTTCCCCATCTTCTGTTTTTAAATATTTTATTGTTTCAGTGTTACCATGGAATAAAAAAAGCATGCTCTTAAATCTTCAATTATGCAAAGCCTTTTCATTTGCTTTTAATGTCTCTTTATTAAAGTTTAAAGGAAATGGTGTTACTTGATTGAAATGATTTGTAAGTTTCATAAAATGGTGATGAGGGTAAATGTAATTATAAATAGTATGATTTTGTTATGCGCCTCCTGCCTTTTATTAGTTTTATTATTTTTTATTTGGGGGGGGAATAAATTAAATTGCATTTAAACATGACTAATGCCAAAAATAAAGCATGCATTCATTACTATCATGGACCTTTTTATCTTGAAGAAGTGGTACTGATTTCTTTTTTTCTATGTGCTTAGGTAAATAATGCAACAGCACGTGTCATGACGAATAAGAAGACAGTTAACCCTTACACAAATGGTAAGAACAAGAAATACCAGTGTGTGTGTGTCTGTGTGTGTGTCTGTGTGTGTGTTTAAGCTTCCATCTCCTGATCTCCTAAGACAGGACTACATAACCTTATCCAGGCCTTCAGCTAAATGATGAGTCTGGACCAGACTTAGAAAAACGGACTTACAAAAACTGGGCTGATCCAAGTCAAAACCTTGGCCTCGTTTAATTTAATATAGTTATTTTGATCATTATCTATGAATTACTTATTTTGTTTTTCCTATCTGTCACATTAACAAATTACAGTTAGGTACAGGGAAATCTATGGGGCCAGGAGGGACCAAAACATTAAAGATAGTGGCTATGACCAGATGACTGAGGCCATGAGGCTTTGATTGTATGATCATGGCTGCCATTTTGGCTTTTATGACCTCCTTCCCAATAGATGCTGTGGCGTTTTTGTAAGGGCTTGAGCTGAGCGATATGTTGGCCTGTTGTGGAAACCTTGTTTAACTGGCCTGTGCTTGAAGCAGACAGTAGCAGTAAATGGTCTGGTGACATTCATTCTTTGCAGAAAAGTTCAGAAAGGCCAATGTTTAACAAGAAAGTTGTGTACAAAATCAGTGTATATTTGGGAAAAGTGTACATAAAGTATTTTTCCTTAGCTGCATTTGAATTATGCATGTGTTCTGGAAAGTTGCATGACAGAAAAAAGGTGTATTGGAGTTGCTTCTCTACAAAAGAATAAACTATGCTATATGCCTGTAAAAATGCAAACACTGTAAGTCAAAGACATATATAATATCTGTATGACAACAGCTAAAGATTTGGGGCATTTTTTTTTTTTTGAAGAAAAGGATTTACTTGGAACAAAAAATGATGGTAACAGGATTATATATCAGGACCTATCACATGGACCCTATCTATCATCTCTCTCTCTCTCTCTCTCTCTCTCTCTCTCTCTCTCTCTCTCTCTCTCT